CCTCCTCTACCTCCTCTACCTCCTCTACCACCACTAATACCACTAACCATTAGCATTAAGAATAGGTAAGGATGTGGAAAGAAAAATTATGATTCAAATCTGTACATGGAAGCATGCCTGTAACACATTTTTAAGCAAAGCTATATAAGCTTGTTACTTTGGGGGAGGAAAATAATGTTCTCCTGGATACATAGGTATATGTGTATATGTAAACTAGAAAAAATGGGACTATTAGATAGCAACATTTAATGATTATTTCCAATTAGTAGCTTTATGGGTGGTTTCTCTGTCTTCTTGGTACCATAGTAAATAGACTGAATTTTTGTAGTATTACATTCTGTTTAATTTTTTAGGAAAAAATGTATTTGCTCAAAATTCAGATAACAAGGTTTTACACTCTGAAAGTAGGTCTCACCCCATCTTCTCCAGTCTCCCATTTCCCTTTCCCAAGGCTACTGCCACTACTGTCTCACACATATACACGCACGCACACACCCATGCACACGCCCTTCCAGAGATGTTCTGTGCTTAGGTGAGTTTTCAAAAACACAAATGGCAGCTGAACGACACTATTTCTCTCCTACCCACTCTGTTCAAACCACCAGCAAATCTTGGTGACTCTAATCCCAAATATTGTTAGACTGGAACTGCCCAGCATCTGTTACAACCGTAGTCTATGTCCACTTCTCCAGGAGCAATTTCAGTAGCCACCTACTGGTCTCCCTGCTTCAACTGTTGCCCTTCACATATAGAAGCCAAAGTAAGCCTTCCAGAATAGCAGTGGAATCAGCCCTTGCTCCAGACCCTTTCAGAGCCAAAGCTTCCCTCCTTCCCCTACGCTGTCCTCGTCTCGGTTCCTGCAGTCACATTTGATCTTGCCTTCTGTCTCGTGTGCCTGTGCACTTCCACCCCAGGGCTTACACAGCTGTGGCTCTGTTGAGCTGGGCACAAGGCTCGCTCACTCCGTTCCCTCGGGACTCTCCTGTGCTGAAGAAGCCTCTAGAACGTGCTGTGGTATTAACTGCCACCCTCTCTAAAACTTAATGCTCCTTTCCCCCATTTTATTTCCGTTGCTGTTACCACCTTGTAACATGCCTCACCCCATCTAGTGTCGTATCTTTAGTCAAATCAAAGAAATGCACTTTTCACTGTATTTAACTTCAGTTAACTTAAATTTAAAAAGTGGTAATTCAGTTCCTGGAAAACTTGGAAGTATATTTGGAACAACTTGATTATGTGAGTCTACTTTTTCAACCATAAAGTCTATGAAATTGAAATTCACATTGAATGTTTCCTATAAAAATTTAGCAACCAAATTGAGGTGTACTGCAAGTATAAAATGCACAGTAATTTTCATACTTACCGAAAGAAAAAGAGTATCACCCCCTAGTAAGTGTGTGTGTTGCTGGTATGGAGGATTGAATCTAGGGCCTTGTGCATGCCAGGCACACACTCCACCACTTAGCACCGTCCCCATCCCTTTTTTTTTTTTTCCAGATAAGGTCTTGATGATTAGTCTAGGCAGCCTTGAATTTGCCATCCATCCTGCTGCAACGTCTGAGTGGCTGAGATTGTTTGTTTGTTCGTATGTTTTGAGACAGGGTCTCACTATGTAGTGCAGGCATAAGTCACTTATGTAGCCTGGACTGGCCTTGAACTCACGAGGGTCCTCCTTCCTCAGCCTCCCAAGTGTTAGGGTTACAGGCATGCACCACCAGACCTGGCTTCTGAGTGGCTGAGATTACAGTGTGCACCACCACATGTGGGTCTCAGGAATCTTCTGTGTTAGTGATATATTGATAATATTTGATGTGTTGGACCCAATAAAATGTTATTAAAATTAATTTCTTGTTACATTTTTAATGTGGCTACTAGGACATGTTCTGTGTGGCTCCTATTGTATTTCTGTTGGATAGTGCTGCACTCCATCTGCTTGTGAGGCGATTTCAGCACTAGATCATGAGCTGCATCTGGGCAAGGATTCAGCTCATTCTGTTCCCTAGTGGTGTCCAGTGACACAAAATGAACAGATTTGAATGAATTCCTCCTTTAGGAAAAAGTCATTATGAGTAAAAATTAAAACAAAATGCACAATATATAGCGTAAAGATAATGTATGTAGACTGCTTTATAAATCAGTAAGATCCACGTACAAAAAGATGAGCAAGAGATGAAATCCAGATGGTTAATAAACTATTAACAAAATTTTAGCTTGGTTCCCACTTTCAATAAGTTCAAATTTGAATAGTTATCCTGTGCCCATGAAATTTAACAAAGAAACTATTTGTATCTCTGGAAGCCAGTTCTGTAGCCTATATTATCAACCTTAAATTAGGAATATTTTTGGGCTAGGTTTTCCATACCTAGGAATTTATTTTTAAGGATGTAATCACAGATGGGAACAAAATTTTTTCCATGCATGTTACAGTAGCTTTGTCACAACAACAAAATTGAAGCAGGCAGCATTCAGGTTGCTCAAGGAATCCAGGTAGCAGTGCAGGGTGGCAGCTTAGTAGAGGAAAAACATTTTAAAACTCTGCTTTGGTCAAGAAGTTCATATAATAAACCAGATTTATCTTTTCAGTTAAGTATCTTGTGTATACTAAGGAAAACCTATGACTCTCCTAAACTTACTTAAATTCTTACTATTCATTATCGGTCTGTCTTACTACCTAAGCTCTTACTGGGTTTGAGGCTTGCACTGAAAAAGTGATTTATTCAATATCTTACAAGCAGAGTCAGTTGTGGTGGCATATACCTGTGATCCATCTTTTTGGGAGGCTGAGGCAGGAGAATTGAAAGTTTAAGTCCAGCGCAGGCAATTTAGCTAGACACTGTTTCAAAATTAAAGTGAAAGGGAAGCCAGGTGTGGCACATGCCTGTAATCCCAGCTCTCCAAGGCAGGAGGAGTACCAGAGTTAAAAGGCCAGCCTGGGCTACATAAGGAGTTCAAAGACAACCTGAATTACAGAGTAAGATCTTGCCTCAAAAAACAAAAAAAAAGCCTGGGGGTGGGGGTATGTAGCTCAGCACTCCCTGAGTTTAATCCCTATTTAACACAAAAGGAAAAAAAAATCTTATAACCCACAAGTGATGACCACATTCTTAGTTCGCACTTCTAGTACATTAATCGTAGTTCATTATAATCTTTCAGGTTCCTCACAAAAGTGGGAAGTTTTTGTGGAAGTAAGTTCATATACATCTGTACTTAGGGCTAACTTCATCTTTCTTACCTTTCAGAATTACCATGAGATTATGACTCATCATCCCGAGAATTATCAGTGGGAAAACTGGAGTCTAGAAAACGTTGCCACCATTCTAGCCCAGCGGTTTCCCGATAGTTATATCTGGGTGATAAAGTGCTCTCGAATGCACTTGCACAAGTTCAGCTGCTACGACAACTTTGTAAAAAGTAACATGTTTGGTGCCCCAGAACACAATACTGACTTTGGAGCTTTTAAACACCTTTACACCTTATTAGTTAATGCTTTTAACTTAAGTCAGAATGGTGTGCTATCAAAGAATGGGAATGTTTGGAATAAGGATTCCAAAGCATCTGACTGTAAGTCCAGTTCTCCTTCTGCTAGTAATGGTTGCCAGGGAGAAAAAGAAAGGACCTGTGAAAAACTTGATGAGTCTGCCGTGAGTTTTTATCCACCATCACTAAATGGGGCATCTTTTACTTTGATTGGATTCAGTAAAGGATGTGTTGTTTTGAATCAGTTGCTTTTTGAATTGAAGGAAGCCAAAAAAGACAAGAACATAGATGCTTTCATCAAGAGCATAAGAAGAATGTATTGGCTGGATGGCGGTCATTCCGGAGGAAGCAATACGTGGGTTACCTATCCAGAAGTCTTGAAAGAGTTTGCACAAACAGGGATTATTGTCCACACTCACGTAACACCTTACCAAGTACGTGACCCAATGAGATCTTGGATTGGAAAGGAGCACAAGAAATTTGTCCAGATACTTGGAGATTTTGGTGCGCAGGTGACAAGCCAGATTCATTTTGCAAAGGAAGCTCCTTCCATAGAGAATCACTTCAGGGTTCATGAAGTATTTTGAGACTACAAGAATATTGATATACCTGTTCAGAGAAGGAGCAGAGAACTCTGAGTGTTACAAGTTCAGCTAATGGGGTGTATGATGAATTCCTAGATGCATTGTCAGACTGGGGACTGGGGAAAGCACACATTCCTAAACTATGAGTGTAATGTGCAATAGTATCCTTGCTTGTGAATGTGAGCAGTTTGCAATTTGGATTGGGCTAGAATTAACAGTTAATTTGAAATCTAAAATGGTTTGTGATAATTCTGTGAAATACAAGACTGTTAAAGTTAACAATATAGTCCTTTTTAAAGGTAACTAAAACTGTTGGAAATAGTTGAAATTTTCTGAGTTATGTTTAACTGGGGTAAATTATAAGAATAATTAGCTATTTTGGCACCCCAAAAGAATGGAAACACTTCATTTGTCAAAGTATAGGTACCCAGATGTTTTCCAACATTTTTAAATAACTGTCCTGCCTTTTGTGTTTGGTAAACTCAAGGATTTTGTGTGTGTCTGTGTGCACTTGTGTATATGCATGTGTGCATGCACGCGTGTATGGGTGTGTACACGTGTGTGTATTTAGTACTGGAGATTGAGCCCGGGGCCTTACTCATGCCAGGCAAACAGCACTCTGCCACCAAGCTGTACCCCAGCCCTGTTTCATTCTTACAGTGCTACCAAGTTGTTTGTTGTTTTTGAGAGCCAAAATATGTTTTATTTCCAAATGCCCAAGAACATGTAGTATAAAATTGGTTTTTAAAACATTTTACATTTAAGTATCATGGCTTAAGTTTTGAGTTTATTCAGTTCCTGAAAATTGGTTAAGTAAAAATATATATATTGAATAAAAATATAGGACAGAGCAGATTTCAGGTTTTCATTGGATCAGTCTTTTGAAAGAGAGCAACTCAGGTAAAATAAATATATAATGCTTTGTTAGTGCTCTATTGCAAAGAAGACAGATTCCATGGATCTAAATCAGTTTTTCCAGAAGCATGATTTTGTCTGCCAAAAGAAAAGAGCTCTGTTTGGCCAAAATGCAAAATTACAGTGCTATAAGAAAAGTTAAAAGGGAAAGTTTGAAGACACAAATGATTTAATTTTGGCTCAGAAATCGAATATGCTTAACACTGCTACATGATTCGGTGAAGTTTCCTTCTGCCTGGTTTTCTTGACCTAGATAAATACATCTTAAAAACCCAGTTTCAGCCAATCCTGAAATATAGCTGTGTGATCAAAGGGGTCTCTTTTTTTATACTTTATTAATAATTAGCTTTCACAGGTCATAAAATAAGCAGGGAAATAACATGCTGCTTTAGGACTGAAAAAATAAGACACTAAAGACGCATTAGTCTGAGTGACCCAGAGGAGCTAAACTTCGTTAAACATAAAATAAAAATGTTAATTTCTTGGTTCTTTTAACTTAATGACTATAAATGCATTCCAAGTGTAGTGTTCAGAAACATGAGATTCTTAACCAGATGCTTAAAAGTTAGCACTTAATTCTGTAAACTACAGAAAAGTACCCAAGTTCGTCTAAGACAAAGTAGTTTCATATTGCTCCATTTTCTTTAAATACCTGCTCGCTCTTTTGAGACCAAAGACTCCCCCACGTATAAATAATCTATGTGATTCGAACATGTTACGAAGAACTTCGCTTTAAGCGTGGTGATTGGGTGGTTTGCTGCGGTTTGTTTCATCCTTGGGTAAACTGACCTGTGGGAGCCGAGGATGTGGCTTCACGGCAGAGCGCCTGCCTAGACTCCGTGACACTGCCCCCGAAAAGAAACTGAAGTGTATCTAGGGAAAGGGGTTTATCTTCACAGGGTAAACTGAAATGAACAGTTAGGACTTTTAACAGAAGAGTCGTTTTTTAAAATCTGAGATACTTAAAAACCTGAGTTCTTCAGCCATCCAGTCCTGTAAATGCTTTACTGTAACTGTCATATCTTGAATGGATATTAGTAGTCCTAGACCTGCCATCACATCAAAGTGAGACTGCTTAGAAGGAAGAATATCTCCATAAGGAAAATACATGCAAGTTGATACATACTCAAGTGGTTTCTGTTTACAGGGATAGGTCCTTTTTGTTTCTGTTCTAAACCGTGATTGTGAATGTCAGTGTATCCTCTTGGACTGTGCCTTTGTGATGAGTCAGTTGAAAAAAGTCCTAAGAATAATGTGAAAGTTGTTACCGCCACAGCATGAATGTATAATTGTATTAAAGTTAATCTAGAGAAGTGTTTGGATGTTTTTTATTAAGACTTCAGATTGATAATGGAAAAGGTACTTCGACATTGTCAGTTTTTCTATTGTATTTTCATTAACATAACATGTTTTTCACTTGTGCAACTTTGACCATCTCTTCCGTAGAAGCATATCTCTTTATTTAGACACAGGGTCTCACTGTATAGTTCAGGCTGGCCTCAAATTCACAGCAGTCTTCCTGCCTCAGCCTCTTAAGTGCTGTGATTATAGGCGTGTGAAACTATGCCTGACTCATTTTCTATTACTCAGAATGCACATTGTATCAATTTCTTCTGGTGGGTTTCCTAGAGAACAAAGTCTCTTAGCAAATAAGTTATTCTTTTTCTTTGCAAGTCATTTTGGATATCTGTATTCCTGTAGCTCCTTAAAAATCTTGGTTAGAATCTGGTGATCCATGTTTCATTTCTTTCCGTATCTGAACACCCACCAGATGCAGGAGGGTCTAGGCCAATGGTGGTGAACCTGTGGCACACGTCCTGCAGCCAGCTGTTATTGAAAGCTCTAAAAGGCTTGCCATCACTGGTCTAGGCAATGAGGACACAGCACGAAGTCTCAGGACGTTAGTCTGGAAATGTGTAGAAAGGGGCAGATGTGAAACCAGGTAGTGTTCATAAGAAAGCCACTCGTGTAGTTCTCTGAGGGCTTGTTACCTCTGTCTCTACTTTTCCCCTCAAAGCCTCAGGCACTTGTAGGTAGGGCTGCTGAAATCTGATTGATCTGGGGCTCAGCTAAATGTGCTTTAAGGATGTGGGGCCTGGATGGAGGGAGCCACTGAGGCGCAACCTGGGTTTATCTCCCTCCTGGTTGCTCTGTTTCCTGACTGCCAGGGCCTGAGCAGCTTTGCCCTGCTCAGGCCTTTTCACCTGCCCTTTCTGCCTGGAGCTAGCCACCGCACGCCATAAATGACCAGAATAAACCCCTCCGAGTGTGGGTGTTGGATGTGGAGTCTCAGCAAGGACAAAGGGACAGGGCCTTTAAGTTGAAAAATGTGCATTAGGAGATACGTGGAACTCACACTGCACCTCACGAAGGCAGAGAGGACCAGCAGCTTATTCACCAGTTAGCAGGTTGAGGGAGTGACTTGGGATGACCATTCTAGTAGTTACTTCTAGGTGTGTTAAAAGCTCCCAGCACTTAGGGCCCATGTGCTCAAAGCAGGACGACCCGATCTGTTAGTTCCCCCAGATCATGTCTAGCACTGAAGGGGGAACTGTTACAGATCTGTTCCATCCAGGTCTGCCTCGAAACTTGCTGCATTCTTAAAAATGTTTTCTGGTCATCTCAGGTTCAGCTTCCATGTCTGCTGATTTAACAGGTAACAGAAGCTTTGTTAGTAGGTTCCTTCCGAGTGTTCACAAATCTTCAAAAGGATGGAAGGCTACAGAGTAACCTGTGTTTACTGTTTCTTTTGATACTTCAGGAATGAAGTTTGAAATTCCTGATCAGCATTCCAGCGTACTCAAGTACTAAAATACTGTCCATGAAAGGGGATTATGATGCTCCAGACACGACATGACCATGAGCAGAAATTCAAATCAAACTGCAGATTCATCTCCCCACCTGGCTGTGCAGCCTCTTCACACAGGCAGCGACTATCACTGGCGACAGCCTGTGTAAAGAAATGTTTAGCTACCATGACTTATTTTCATATCACATGTAGTCACACTAGAAAAATTCCATGCTGTAACATCCACTTCCGCCTTACTCTTTGGCACTGTCGTACTGTTCTCATATTATAGTCTACCATTTACTCGTTCATTAGTTTTATTTTGAATCCTTGTGTATCTAGTAAGCAGTGCAGTGAGTTTTGCTGGGAAAGAAAAAATTCCCTTGTGCATGTTGTCAGGCTCCGTACTCCAGCCCAAGAAAAGCTATGCATGACCTGTTCAGAAGTGTCAGAGGTGTGCTGCACACAGGGAGAAAGGAGTTACCCACAGTCACCAGAACTCTGATCCATTTCCGTCCCACCTGTCTGCACCTGCAGTCTGGATTAATTAGGTAATTTAAAATTCCTTCCAACAGTAAGATTCAGAATCCCTGAAAAGTTGCATGAAACATGTATCATGTATTTTATTTGGCCCTAACCCAGAGATAAAATATTTTGATTTTAAAGTTTACCCAGGGAAATAATTTTAAAACATCCCAAAGTGTTCGTTTATAGCTTTCTAAATACTTAATACTGCAAGAGGAGCTACCTCAGCTCTCAGCAAAGAAAGAACACATTAAATGGGCCCACTACACGGCTGCCAGCTGTCTCCTGGGGATTCCCGCAGCGAGCCTATGCAGTTTCACTTTAAAGTTGAGGAAAACAGGCCTCTCAGGTTATTTAACTCACCCAAGAGTGCCCAGTTCGCTTCCTCACTAACCACACTGAATGAAAACGAACACTGAAAAAAAAAAAAGAAAATGAACATTGAGTAGACCAACTGTAGCTATTTTATGTGCACGTTTTCTACAGAACTCTGGACTTACACTTTGCACCCATTCTTTTACTGGTTAAGGAAAAAACAAGGATTTTTATTAAAAGCTGACTATACTGTGCAAACTAAGAGGTCCTTTTCCCTCCTGAACTAAAGGAATCTACAGAAGTTTTTGATGTAACCTAAGTAGCCAAAGATCAAAACCGGATAGTCAGATATAGCTAATACATTGAAACAATTCCTTTCTGACTTTCTAACCTTTGCTGATCTCAATAATTTCAGTATCTCCCAGGACGCTTAGAAAAGTAAGAATTTTTAATATACTCTTCCTTTCTCGTTTACTGTAATTTGCTCTTCTATGCCTGAAGTTAACCCAACCACAAACACGGACACAAATGAGGGGGCTGCCGTCGGGGATGACTTCCTTCATGACCACACTGCACCCGGAGGATGCGCAGAGGCTGTCTGGAGTGCGCGTCTGCTCTGGGGCCCTAGCTGGTGATGTGAGTGTAAGGAGTGTAAGACGGCAGCACAGATCCCTACACAGCGGCTCGTTGTCTTCAAGACAGTATCATTCTTAGGCTCTCGAGCTCATTTATCCTTAAAATGAAAAACATTTCTTTTAAAAAGGAATAGATGAAAAAGTATTTCGGGGAAAAACTTTAATTAGGCTACAGTTTAGACATGGCTATAATCTACAACTGATGTATTCTCTAACAAAAATAGCAGACATCTTGGGTAGCAGGAAAAACCAGAACCAGAGCAAACATTTGCTGTGGACAAATCACAACTCTAATCCAAGTCACGACCGTGCAATCCAGTGACTGTCCCGACTGCACCCACACACCCCGGGAAGTCTGCTGTGTACGTGTACCAGTTCCGTACCTGCTCTGCCAGTCTACGTGGTTGGAGCCTGGTGTCTGCATCTTTAAAACTGCCTCAAAAGATTCTGAGTACAGGCAAATGTAGGTGACACTGCTCTCAGGGGCACAACCCTTTTCCCTTTGCTATCAGAACCCCGTTTCTGAAACAGAGGGCCCACTCTGCCCTCTTCTCTACTCATGTCTTCAAGCAGGCATCCACTCCAGTGCCCACAGGCCTGACTAGCCTAAGGCGCATTTCAGGCCCTCTGCCATGACCAGCTAGGGCTGGGCGGGTCTGACCTCTGAGAGCAGTGGGCCCCAATGACCAGCTAGGGCTGGGCGGCTCTGACCTCTGAGAGCAGTGGGCCCCAAGGACTCAGTGGCAGTCCTGGGAAAGTGCTCTTGTGCCAGGCCAGGTCCCTGGGACGCGGCCAGGCTCGTACGCTGCATGCAAATGAAGACGCGCAAGGCCCTGACTGCTACTGGCCACCATCCAGGACAAGGGCAGCTGGCCTCAGATGTGCCAGTGCTGTGGGGGGAACTGGAAAAAAGTTTCTGATGACATCACTGAGTCACCGGACTGAAAACACTGACGCCTAGCAGACACTGTGGACTGTGATTCAATATATTTTATTTAAGTCACTTTAAGCTGAATTTTGTTATTTGCATCTTAAAACTGAACAGTGGTCTCAGCACAGCATTCTTTACTTGTGAATCTGCAGCTAGCAGAACCCACGAAAACACCCACCCACGTGCCTATTTAATATGCAAATCTGAGACTGAGTTATTGTTCCAGTCTTAACAAAGCATCAATCTTGTTATTCCCTTCCGATATTTGTTATTCCCTTCCGATATTTCAACTAAATTTCATTGTAAGGTTTATATTCACTGCGTTTACTTCCTTATTTACTCCAAGTTCTTGCTGTAGGCTTTGTCTTGAATGTGTAAGACCATCCTCCGAGCATAGAAGTCGCTGTATTCCTCTGGTAATTCAGCCAGTGTTTTCAGGGCTCTGTCCAAAATCTGCACAGCTCTTGATGCTGCTGTCAGGTCTTTGTTTCCGTAGGTATCTGTTTTGTCATAGCACTCAGACGGAAGGTGCTTCCAAAAGACATTCACTCCCACTCCAAACTCTTCAGAAATTACATTGTGGAACCATAAAGCTGGAGAAAGGACACCAAAATGTCAGGGAAATTCACAAATTTCATGTAGCCAATGTAAGAAATCATTCCTGTAAGCACAGCCCTTCGTTAACACACTCCCAGCTTCTAACAGAATCATTTTAACTTCCATGAACTGCCAACCCATCTAGTGTCAGTAGCACAACCTTTACTTTTAAAACCTTTAGAAATAGCAATTTTTTCTTTTAACTTGAAAGACATAATGAAGTTATATTTGTTTTGTAGTTCTCTAATTTGGGGCTGTGTTTTCTGTTAGTTGTTTATACTTCCTGAGTCATACAACCACATCAAAAATGCTTTTTTTTGTACACAGAACATTTCAATTATTTGAGGAGTATGTTTGACCTTTTTTGATTCAGTACAGCACTTTTGTTCTCAAAGACTTCCTATTCAAGCTGCAAGTTAGTTTTCTAACTCACTTAAATTTGCATTCACTGTAGCTTCCTCAGTTTTGTATCTGTAATGCATTTATAATCCTATTTCTTTTGGCTCCTTTACAATAAGTATATAAAACTACAGCAAACATTTTGGTGGTGATGAATAAACTTTATTAAATACCTTATTGATTTCTATTTGCACTAGAAAGTTTACTTTGTTTTCAGTGGCATCTAAGCATTTTCAAAATGTAAGTGCTAGAGGAATACGAAAGTCACACAAAGTAACAAAGGTGGAGTATAATCACATCAGAAATGTTTAATCTTGTCAGAGGGAGAAAGGAAGGTTTAAATTTTAGAAACAAATGCATTCCAAGAGTACTCAAAAAACAAAAGATTAAAATATTTTGATTTGCAAAAGTAGTCTTTAAACACGGTTTCAGTCTTAACTATTCTTTCAGAATCCTTCTTCCCTCATTCAGTATAACAGGAAGAAAAGGGCAAACCATTCTGCTTAATCTAAATCCTAAGTTGGGGCTTTTGCTTTTGTTTCAAACTACAGTATATACAAATTATTTGGTTTTTTTTTTTCTTTTTGATTAAAAATTGGATGTGTAAGGAAAAACTGCATAGCGTTTAATCATGTTCGGAAAATACAAAGCCACAAATTCAAATATAAATTTAAAAATTACAGTGCATTTAAGACTAAGACAGTGGTTGCAGTTAATGTATCAGATTCCCCTCTGAGGAATGCAGAGGTTAAAAAAGAACATAGTACCTTGTCCTCAAAGACTTCATAATCTAACCCCAAATTACATATTTTTCTTACTGACATTTTAAATTTAATTGTATCAGTGAAGTATTATTAATATATTAATTTAGATATGCGAAATCAACCACACAATTTGTCACTGTGTTCCTTTTCAAGTGTTACAGATGTGAATTATGTCACCGCGCTTACTAACACTGAAATTTTAGACCTTCAAACCAATGCATAAAAATATTGTGACACTAATTCTGTATGCAGAAAAGGGCATGCTAAAGATATCACAGGTGTTGAGATTATAATATTTTGATATTTACTACAATCTCTAATCTGTTTTAGTTTTAAAAAATACCATTGCTTGGAAAATGTTTAAGTGAACAGTCCTAGAACATCTAAATACTTTAGGAACCAAACACTTCTAAAAAACAACCAAGAATAATCTTTTCCCAGATAGAAAGTATCTCACTTGATGATACTTAATAAAATAACTTACAGGAGAGACATTCCGTATTTAAGACCTGCTTGTTTAATGGCTCTCGGGCTTAGGACGGAGACACACTGTTCAGACTCATGACCCACCGCTCAGACTTACGACCCGTCTCTTTTTGTACAGCACACCTTGTTTCTACAGTACTATTAACTTTTGCTAATTGTACTGTACAGTACGGCAGTTTTATGTTCTGTTATACATCACAGAACTGCATGTAAGAATTACCCAAATAAAAGTAAAGTGATCAAGTTGGAGTTTCCTTTGCCCATTTCTTTGTTCTGAATAATATCATTTACATATTACATATAATTCCTCTTAACAGTGACCAATCCACTTAATAGCCTGGTCACGGGAACAGAACATGGTCATTAAACAAGGCGTGTTTGTATTCTGCAGCTATGCACTGCTCACTGAAAGTCAGAACAGATCCTGAGAAATACATAGTTAGGCATTTCATCACCATGCAAACGCTCTGCATATACCTAACACAGCCCTGGAGGGTGTGGCTCATGATGGGCCCAGGGACAAGCCACTGCCCTGTACAGCAGGCCATGTTCTGAAGATGCAGCTGCTGCAGCACCGTGAGCAGCTGTGGATCTGAACATGAAGCACAGCGAGACTAAGGTGCTGGAGACTCCTCAAGGTGCCCTCTGCCCAGGGCGTGTACGCGAAGGCAGCCCGCAAGCCTGGCAGGTGCTGCGACTGGTCAGCGGTGAGCAGTGAGTGGGCTTCACTGTGTGCTTGGGCTACCCACAGCTTACCGAAAAATTCCAGTAAGAAACTTATCTAGCTTACTGTAACTTGTTAAAAACTGTAAACTTTAACCTTTTGAACTTTACAATGACAGCTTAAAACACTGTACAGAAGTATAAATACAATTTATATCCTTTTTCTCTGAGCTTTTTCTAATTTTAAGTTTTTAAAATTTTTCTTTTGTAAAAAACAATGACACAAGCATATTGCATTCACCAACCCGTGCCCGCCCCTGAAGGGCAGTCATGGTCACTGCCTTCATCTCCCATCCTGGCACAAGAGGGGTGTTACGGTTTGTGTGTGGGTGTCCCCCCAAAGCCTCATGTGGTCATGGGACAGACTTTTAGAGTTTGATTATGGGTGTGAGAGCTACACCGCCCTGGCGTGGATAGTTTACATATGTAAGGGAGAGGAAGACGCTGCTTGCCGCCATTCCTCCCTTTCAGTGCTTCTTGCTTTTGCTGTGCTCTGCCGCCATGAGCTGTAGCCCTCCGCCATGTGCCACTCTGCCTTGTAACCCGCCAAGTATGGACTGCAACCTTCACAAACTGTGAGCTAAATAAACCTTTCCTTCCTTAATTTTGGGTGTCAGGTATTTTGTCCCAGGAACAAGAGAGAAGTAACCAAGACAAGGGGCTCTAGGGCAGCACAGGGAGCTGGTGTCTCCACTGATAGTACCTTCATGTGGAACATTCCTAAAGGACCTGCCCAAGGCTTTTCTCTCCTACTTTCCAAACAAGTAGAAGAAGCAGTAACAATTAAAAGTAGACTAGCCAGGTGCCATGGTGCACACTTGTAATCCCAGTTATTTGGGGGGCTGAGGCAGGAAGATCACAAATTCAAGGTGTGGGCAGTGGCTGAAGCTGGAGATCGATCACACGTGTGGGGCCAAAGCAAGGCCAGCCCCAAGAACACAGAGCGCTCAAGGCAAGCCATGTGAGCTGTTCCAGCTCTGAGGATGAAAGGCGCCCGAGGTAAGCCAGGCAAAGGAGTTAGGCAGAGGGGTTCAACTGACATCAGCCTCCCGAGCATAGCACGCTGCAGTCGCTGGGCAGTTTTTTCTCTCCCACCAAGAGAGGAGGCTCCATCTGACCTCAGCTTTCTGTATTCTCACTCTTGTCTCCACTTCTGCATCCTCCACTGTCCTTCCCCCGGGAAATCTGAGAGCTACACTGGACAGGGCACCAAGGCCATCCTGGGCAACTCAGGTCCTATCTCAAAATGAAAAACTAAAAGGGGTTGGGATGTGACTCACTGGTACAGCACTTGCCTACCACGCACAAATCCCTAGTACCATCAAAAAACTGAAAAGTAAACAGAGAAACCAGTAACACAGTTGTTTATTATCAAGTATTATGTGCACATATAACTATGTGCCGTGCCTTCACACAGCTGGCCATGCAGGAGGTCTGCACAGCCATCACCACGCGCACGGTGACTGGCTCACTGTGCCCTACGTTCTGACGGCTGCACTGTGACCAGCGATAGGGTCTGTCAGCCCCATTACAATCTTACGGGATGCGTGCTGTATGCGTGTTCTGTGTGGACTACATCTCTGTGTGGTAGTGCAGGGCTGTACTGACAGGCTGCCCCCTAAAATAAGACTGTTACTTTTCTAAGAGTCCGCCTAGGTAGACTTTAAACACACACACAGCTATGTCGAAGAATCATCTTGTACAGGACAGGGTACATGCAAACAGTTTCGTCTACAGAAACACACATAGAAGATGAGTGACAGAACACAGACTTCATCAACAGCACATGACTGAGGTCTAGAAACCTTACCGGGGATGAACAACACATCACCAGCTTCAAGCAAACATTCATGCCTTCTCGCCTTGGAGAAGAGTGGATATTTAGCCAAGTCTGGATTATCAATGTTTAGCACTTCCGATTTAGAACCTGAAAGGTTCCAAACAGGTTAAGCAAAGTTGGCATTCTTTTAAAAAAAGTAATCATAAATATAAATTTAAAAATCAATTTTCTGTTCAATCATTACAGCCACACTATGGGATTAAGACAGTTTTCAATCACCCACCCTTTCACTGTGACCACTGACAACCCTTAAATATAATTATGATAATCTGAAATCTCATTCCTCACATGGCTTGTCACTATGCGTACTACACATATACATTTGAAAATATAATACATCCTAATTAGGAAGATGTGTCCTAAACTGTCGTTTAACGTGAATAAAGAGATTTCTCAAGGAGCAACTGAACAGACTTTAGAAATACAACCTTGACTAACAACATACCTGACAGATACAGATACTGGGCCTCACGAGGACTGAACAGTGTAATGCGCTTCTTTCCTGTCACTTGTATTAAGAGGTTATCCATCACCTGAAGACCAAGAAGAACTTAGAGGTAAGCAGTATGTAAAATTCAAATAGAACCAATGATATTCTAAATAACTGTAAACACTATGTATGTTTTTTGAGATAGGGTCTTTTTTGCGCTTGAACTTTGACCCTCTTGCCTTAGCCTCCTAAGTAGCTGGGACTACAGGGACCTACCACTGCGCCTAGCTTAACACGTTCCCAGCGGCTTGAATCACCAGAGGCACATGCAGAACAGTCCCACTGTGCAGCTTGTACCACTGGTAGTAAAGCATCGCACAAGACAGTCACACACGCACCACCAGTGGGTCAAGCTGCTTGGCGGGGGCCATGTGAATTACGGCCCCACCAGGAATGTGTTAAACCTTAGTCTTTCATGAGACTTGATGTACACTGCCTAAAGCTCTTATTTTTTTAAAAGAGAATAAAAAATAAAAAAAAATAATTAGAAACAACACAGAATTTCACTAAAGAAGATGACAGGAATTCAACAGTGGTTGTTATATTGCATAGTGTTGTCTTCAAATTAGTTGTTCAGATTACCAGATATAAGCATGCAAAATTGGTCAAAAAAATTACAAAGAAAAAAAATTTTAAGCATTAACTGTTCCTTTCAATAAACCAACAGAAATCAGCAATACAATTATCCCAGCTCTTCTTGTATATACATTTTCTAGGGTAACAGTAACACCAGAGTGCAATATAACCAGGCCTTTACTGAGGACACTTGTGTAGCACTGCCTCAAAGTGGGATGAACTGGCAAATCAGGAAGTCATGTTAGGAAACTGTTGGTCCATGCTGACCATGAACTGACAGTAAGACCCATTAAACATGCTGAAGCCTCCCCTAGGCTAATACTTATTTTACCTAGCCATCCAGGATGCTCTAAGATCAACATTGAGAACAGACTAAAAGCACTTAGCCAAACCAGGATTTAGGAAAACAGGAACTACTGCAGCCACTGCTAAACTTGCAATTCAACCATAATTTGGTTACAGGTAACTTGATTATGAAATTATTTGTATAGGACTATGACCTAAATTACCTAATGTACTTTTTTTTTGGAGACAAAGTCTTGCTACATAGTCCAAGTTGACCTTGAACTCAATATGGAGGCCAGGTAGGTCTCGAACTCATAATTCTGCCTCAGCCTCCCCAGTGAGAGGTTTACAGCTATGTGCCCCTACCCCCCACCTTTTAATGGAGCAATCTAACTGTTCCTGTGTATGCATGGGCACTTTCTTATTACGTTCTGTGAGAAAGGTTAAAAGCCAGAGCCACATGAGTCTCAGCTAAGGAATTAAGATAAACACTAGACAAGGTATCATTATGATTATTCACATATCATTACTACTGAAGCATTTCTTTTAGCACCTTATCTTCACTTACGTAGACCTTAACTATACAATTATAACTAGCATTTCTCTAATTTATATTTAAGAAAAGCCTTGTATATTATATTCTAATCAAGGTAAAAGAAAGGACTTTCAAGTTAAAACAGTCATAGACTATTATTAAAAATGTATGAATCCCCTCATTTCCTCACCATGTCATTCATGTAAAACCTTTAAAAAAAATATGCTAAGATTTTGTGTCTCTCTCATTTAATTATAGATATACTGACTATGCTGAAACCTTCCCAAAAGGTCTTTAAATGAATTACAGAATACATATATAAAACGTAAGTTTCATATAGAACTTTAAAAAACTGTTTTTGGAGGCCAGGTGTGGTGGTGCTGAGGCAGGAGTTCGGGGCCAGCCTGGGCTACACAGTTAGTTCAAGGCCAGCCTGAACTGTACATAGCAAGACCCTGACTCAAAAATAAATAAATTAATTAATTAAACAACTTCAGAAATCCATTGATATTGCTTTAACTTCCTGTTTCTCCACCTTCTAGTACCAAATCATGTAAAGTACTAGCCTTTTTAATATATTTTAAGTGCTCAGATATACAATATATTTAATATATTCACAATGGGGGCTGCAATTTTTACGTCTTTCTGTCAGGCAGCTTGAACACTGTTGGTACACGCATAACTGTCCAACTGGATGGCTTTTTATTAACTTTATTAGTAAAAAGACTGAGAAAAGTGACCAGATCCACCTGTACACCAGTGGTACAAAGCACCCAATGGGATAGTCGTACGTGGACCACCAGTGTGGTTCAAGCTAGCGGGAATATAAAATTCTAACATCTTAGAACATCAAAGAATCAATAATTAAGATCAGTATTATACACAGCTTGCTGTCCTACTATTACAGCAGACAGTGAATGTTCTCAAGGGACACAAATCCTAAGACCTTCAGATTCCTCCAGATACTTCCATCTGGAAATAACTCACTATGGGCTCCACTTTTCTCCTGAGCAGCATCTTGCTGGGCAGCCAGAGGCATGGGTGCCGTTTATGTATTCCCACCACACAAGCTGTCACTTTTTAACCCTTCTCCCTTACCTAGCGGCCATTTTTTACCCACTAAACAAACCAAACAAAACCCAACCCCACTTCATGAGATACAGATGGGGAGGAATCAAGAGCACAGAGACACACAAAGGTGAGAAACAAGGCTGCACGCTCGGCTAAGGAGCTCAGCCCTGCATCACTGCCTTGCATAGTTCCTTTGCTCAAACCCGACACCTTGGCGAGCTGCACTGCTGAGATTTCTAAGGCAGCTTGTAGCGTGAACTTGTGAATGTTAATCTATAAAGATCCACGGTGGCTGCAGAGTTCTCATTTATAGAGCGTACATCATAGTGCGTCCAAAGTTGTAATCCAGGTGAACTAATTCGGAAAACGCTAGAGAAGAACTGCTCCTCCTTGAAGAATTTTGGAAACTTAATATCGCCTTCTAACAGAGGAAACTGCTTTCTGATATCTGCAACATCCTACATCGACAGAAACATAAAGATAATTAGAGAAAAACACCTGGAAAGAATTTTATTAATAAACACTACATTGACATAATGTTTACTTTATCAAAACTGCCAATAGTCTACAAGCTATTAGGGGAGACAGGGACAAAACTGCTCATTGCCTTACAGTGCTACGCTCTGACTACCTGCTAACACCCATCTCTCAGTGCAGGGACAACACGCCTGGCAAGGAGAACGCAGATTCAACGGGACCACTGATGTGAAGCTCAACAGACTTCACCCACTTTGACCACAAAGACTCTATGGTCCTATCTGAGAGGTTCTTTCTACTTTAGGCTAAACTGATGCAGCTCTCCTGTACTCTAATGAAGCTGTATTTGTATGATTCTGATTACATAATTAGAATTATATAGTGAGGATTTCTGTAATTATTTTGGATTAATATTTCATTAGTTGAAAGGGCTTCTATAAAATACACAACTGATGGGATTTCTTACTGTGTAGAAATGACATTACTCTGACCACAAAGACTCTATGGTCCTATCTGAGAAACAAGCAATCAATGGTTACTGATGTTTTTTAGGAGCACAAATCATTCAGAATAGAATAAGACATGTTATGTATCAGTCTGTAAGTATAAAAGTGACGGTACCAGTAAATTTCCACGTAAGCCTTCAGCAACTGTTTTAAGTTCACGATTCTTACCTTTCTAGGATCCTCTCCAAGTGACCGTAAGTAGTACTTCTCATCCTTAAACATCCCAAAGAAAAATAACATTAGCATTCACTTAAAAATACTTGAAAGTAAAGAGAAAAAGAAATAAGCCTTAAAATCCGACCCAGGTAAGCCATTCTCTGAACAGCTCGGTCAGCTTCCCCTCTCCACTAACGCTCTCTGGTGGCCACGTGGAGAAACGTCTCACACACACTCCTCAGTGCCTGGGTCCACAAAGCAGTGCGTTCTGAAGGCAGCACGCAGAGACCATGCTGAAGCCATAACGCTCCCGACAGACTCCCGACAGACTCCCGACAGACTCCCGACAGGCAGTCTCCGCGCAGGAGTCCAGGGGAGCGGAGGGCTTCTCTCCACTCAGCGCCCCTCCGCAGCCTTTCACAGCAGTGCCTTCCCATACACCAAACCTCAGCATGGACCTCTGGAGACCCGCACGGACAGTCCATGTGCATGTGGTTCACACCCTTTCTCTAAGTTTAGACTTAATCCTTTCTCCTCGCTCTACTTCCTTTACCTCACACATCACAGCGACTTAACTGTGTGCTCCTCACGCCCCTCACACAGGAAGTGCTGACAGGCAACTGAATATTCAAGTTCAAAGCACAGCTATGAAGGGAGTGGTTCTCGGGTCCAGCTAACCATTTTCAAAGGCACTCTCTGCACAGTACAGAACCACAGGCCTCCAGAGTCTGCGGGACCCTGGAATATTCTAGCATAACCAGTCCTTAAGGAGAAAACTGTAACAACACAGTACCTTACCATCCAGAAGGTCCAGGCCTGGCGACTCAGACACAGGCAGCAGCTTTACCCAAAGCCTACCAAGGTGCTCATCCATTTCCTCATTTGCATTTTTGAAACAGGGCCTTGTTATTAGTCCAGACTGGCTCTAAACTTACTATGTTGCCCAGGTCAGCCTCCAACTTGTGATCCTCCCGCCTCAGCCTCCTGAGTGCTGGGGTTACAGGTGTGCGCCACTACACCTGGCTAAAAAGTAGCTTATTTTTAAAACATGCTTTTTGATAGCATAGTGAGTTTTTAAAAACACATGTATGACGTTTTACCTCAAAATATGTAAACTGAATTACTTAAAGCTGCACTATAATGTAAATAAGAATGATATAATCTTAGAATTTTACAGCCAACAAAAGAAATCATATTGACAAGAATAAAATATGATATTCAAATGCATGACACATGAAAATAAAGCTCTTCATTAGCATCTGAACTTGGCACTTCAGACCTCGGCCTTTTCAAGGGAGTCCTCATAACAGCCTTTATCGAGGCATCTCCATGTGTCAGGTGCACTACTAAGTGCTTTACGCATTTTATTCAGGTAATTCTCACAAGAAGCCTAGAAGTGCGCAGTGCTCTCTTCTTCACGCGCTAGATGAGTCTGCGTGAGCACAGGAGAGCAACCCGGCAGGGCTGCGCGTGGTGAGCAGCAGGGTGGCCTGTGGTGCAGGCAGGGAGCCTCACGAAGGCCACACAGGCGGCCGGGGCTCTTGTGGAGTGCGGGATCTTGCATGAGCTATAGCAGAAAGTTCTTTCTGTATATAGACAGCAACGCTTCCTAAGAACACGGTGCAGCAATTACCTCTGAAATAAAGAATTCGTCATGCTTCTTTTCAGCTGCCCTCTGGACCAACTTGTTAAAAGGTAAAGTTCTGAAATAAACACAGATATATGATCACTACACATGCAGGCTTGTGGCAGTGGGATATCGTCTTCTACTTTATAATAGCCAGTTTTTATCCTGACCTATTATGGAGACTTCTAAACATTCAAAGTTCATTTGGCAGTATGTCTTCTTGGTTTATTATTTGAAAGTTTAGGACTAAGGATTTTTAAGTCTCTATAGTATACACTATCCTTATAAGTCAATGTGCTTCTATTCCATATGAATGACAGAAAAATGTCTTTATGGTTCTGATTACCTTTGGAAGGAGCTATGCTCACCATTCTAGCAGACACAGATTATCTTTGGAAATACACTTGCTCTCAGGCTGTGAACAGGACAAACTGCTAGTGCTACTCTGGAAGAGATGTTAGGCAAAGGGTCCAATGCAGACCCTCCTGCCTTTTGGCACAATCTCAGAACATAAAAGCCAGGAACACTCTTACCCTTCTCTACCACCCTCTACCATTTTAAGGCTTGTGAGAAGAATGTGAGTGAAGTCACCAGATTTTATCCTTCAAAATTTCTACCCCAAAGCCTATTTTCTTCCTGTTTGAGAAACCAAAGCCAATAAGGCTTCTGAGAAGCCCCAAGATCCTGAGGGCACTAGACAAATTTGCAGCTAAATGGGCTATTTGAATGTGGGGCCTTGCTAAAGGAAGTGGGTATGTAGCATGACCTTAGGGAGGGTATCTGGTCCCTGGGCTCTTCCCCTAGAGCTCTCCTGCTCACTCTCTACTTTCTGGCTGCCGCAAGGTGAGTAGCTTTGCTGTGAGGTGAGCAGCTTTGCTCTCTACATCCTAGCTGCCATGATGTTCTGCATGAGTCTAAAGTAAAAGAACCATTCAACCATGGACTGAATCCTCTGAAACCATGAACCTACATAAATTTCCCTTCCTTTGTTTTTCTCAAGTATCTGATCACAATGGGGACAAACTGACTTACATACTTCCACCTTAGAGAACAAGACTGGGTATTGTGGAAGCAGAGTTTTTTCCTGGACCTCATACTCTTGAGGTCACACGGCTATACTTTCTCTAGGCCCTATCTTATCCCCTTCAACTTTTTCTAATTCAAAGTACTGCCTGGTGTGAATATGACACTATCAGTAACAATACAATGGGTCCTCAAAGCCTGCCTTCTGCTCCCCACTGCACATTTGCTACCAAACTTCTCATCTAAGACTACAATCTCTTCAATCTCATTACTAAATATTTTTTCACTTGAAATCTGTACTGGGAGATGGAGACAAATAGGAAACTTCTCCTTTGCTATGAGATGATGCTGGGCAGATTTACTCTCCCCTGGCCCTTATCTCCTAGAAGCACAGTGGGTAAAGTTAAACATGAAGTGGCAGCTGCAGTATCAGTGGGGGTGCTTGCTATATAAGTGACCCTTGACTGGTGAACTATGTCTGCACTAGACGGCCTGGGAATGGACTACACATACTTGTTAGGAAGCAGACAGCCATGTACAGTAATTAGCGGAAAACAGAGAAACCCAGTTCTTGGGCCATTTCCAGGTACTGGCTTCTGGGGACCACGTCACTTGCCCGGCTAGGTGTTTCAATACCACCTCCACGCTCTTGTTCTCTTTAAAACTAAGCTGCCAAAAAATGGCTCTAACGTTTGCATGGACTCCTGAGGATACTCTCTGCTAGAGTGCTGCTTCCTGCCTTGAGCTCTTCTGCAGAGCTAAGGGAATGTGATGCCCACTTAGGGGCACTGGGTCCTGTGCGTGTGAATGTGGACTACAGGTGTCCCGGTCATTGTGTGAGTGACACTGGGCAGAGAAAAGAAGTCTGCTGTCTACTCAGACCAACGCCAACTCTCCCACTGTAGTTTCTGATCAGCCAGATCAGTGAGTTTACTTCCTGGCCCCGACTCCATGTTCTCCATCTCAGGCTTCAGCACGCACCTACCTCTCATTGCTACCAAAGCATCTTTGAAAGGCACACATAGAAAAGCTCACTGAGGCTATGTAGCTGGTACCGCTGCCCCGGTTTGAGTTTTCTGGCCAGGAGGACACAGAAGCATTTCAAGACCCTGAGAAACTCAGGGTAGAATGGTCAGGCTGCCGGAGCAGTGAAGTGCCTACAACCAGAGAAGCACAGGGCTGCTGCCAGCAGCCTGCCCTCAGGAGGCCCCCTGGCCGGGGTTGTACATATCACACACATGTTCTAAGCAGGTCCCTGCCACTGGTGCACCACGTGTACGACAAGCACACAGAAAAGCAAGGGAGGCAGAGTCCATGAGGCATGTTATGGTCTGTGTCTAGATGTCCCCCCAAAGCCTGCTGCAGTCATGGGCGGGCTTCTTAAGTCTGTGATTGACTCATGGTCCAGTGCTGGGATTATAGGTGTGAGCGCCACACCCGCCCTGGGGCAGGTAGTTTGCATACAATGTAAGGGAGGGAAAAAGGGTTGCTCTCTGCTGCTTTTCCCTTTTGCTCTTGCTGCTTTTGCTGTTTTCCACCACCATGAAGGTTGCCCTCTGCCATGTGCCACCCTGCCTTGGGATCAGCCCAGTAGGGACTGAAACCTCCACCAACTGTGAGCTAAATAAAGCTTTCCTTCCGTAATTCTGGGTGTCAGGTATTCTGTCTCAGCAACGGGAGAAAAGTAACCAAGACAAGGGGAGACCAGGAGTCAGCAAATCTGAGCACACATCCTGAGTTCTATCATTTTATCCCAATGTGATCTTGGGTAAGCTACTTCTCTTTGCAATTGCTGTAAACAATACCTACCATAACTCCCAGACTGTTCTCTAGTTAAAATGAGAAGTACAACTTAGAACACTTGTCATACCATCCGACACACAGGAGGAAGTGTTCAGTAAAGCTACTGGATTAGCAAAGACCACAACACACCCCTCACCAGCATACAAGGAGTCACTGGTATTTTTTTTTAAAAAGAGAAAAGAAATCCTCTAGGGTTCAGTTCCCCACTTTGGAAAGGCTCCTTTACAAAGTCAAGACCAGGACTGATAAAAGTCCAATAAACATAAGAACAAGTTGATGAGAGAATTACATGATGTATTAGGTAAAAGCAGCTAAGTAAGGTTTAGGAGAGATTTACAGTGCATTTTAAAAATTAAATCTATAACCAGAAAATACCAAGAGTATCTTTTCACTTCACCGCACAAGATTCTCTGTTAAGAGTACCCTGACTCTGGAGGGAACAGTGACGGCTACCAAGGAGAAAAATGTCTAAGGTGATACTTGTTACTGCATCCGTCTCCAGACATACAACAAAGGAGAAACGCAATCTCAACAACACATCCATCCATAGGATTTCTCTTTTCCAGTACGTCTTTGGCCTAGATTCTGAATCCTTTCTCTCCTCCTGCCTGGAAAAGCTGAAAGAACTAAATCTACTTTTAGTTCTTGCACTAAACAATAACCTTGCAATTCTTTAATAATGCTAGCGGAAGGCTTTGAGAAAGCTGGGACAGTACATAATGCATGTGCTTCAAAAATAAGTTTTGAAAAGTTTAAAAGGCATGACAAAACATCAAAGCACTTCAGGATGAAGTTTCAATACCCATTTATTATGGCATTAGACTGTGGAAAATGAACACCATTAATTGCAGACTAAAAAACACTCAGCATTCCAGTACTTTCTTCCACTTTTTTGACTTAATAAAAAGTGAAAAGTTCTTACACTTGAAAGGACTTACGGCAATTAAATTCAACTGGTGGCCTATTGAAACCAAAACCAGAATGGTGAATATTCAAAAAACTGAAAATTGAGAAATGCTTTGGCAGCTGTTATGTGAACCTGGAAACCTCTAATGAGAAAGGAATGCCCCTGGACATTGGAAACTTTGTGTAGCTCACCTCTGACCTCAAGTCTTGCAAACTACATGGTTTTCAATGATTTAATTTATTGGGAACTGCATGTACTGAAAATTACAGAGTTCTTTGGTTTTTAATGACTCTCATGGGAACACACAGTATATGAAATCTGCAAGATGACATTTCAAGCTCCCATGTTTAGACATTAGTAGCTTTTGACAATTTCTTATTTAATTTTAAGATTCCATAGCATAAAATGGCAACCCTGAGTGAAATTATAGGTATTTAAGGTTATTTCATCAAAAGAGAAAATCAAACATGATTTTTAAAATATTACCCAAGTCGATGAAAGATCATACTACACATAACTTGTCTTATATTTCTGGAGAACACAGAAACACATGAGCCTTTAAAAAAATGTCCTGTGCTAGATAAGTTACCAATGTGGTAGAATATCTTGATTAATCAAGCACAAAATGAATATAGTAGACCCAACTGTAGGGGTAACTAACTCTGTAAAAATCTTCTCTTCTATGACTCCAAAAGGTCCTGGGACACCCTATTTTTAAAGGTCTTTAGAAATGTCTTTGTATCATTATAGACACTCACAATTCTTCTGTCTTTTTAGAAGTACTCTTTAAAAATCAATAAGACACCATGATTACACCAAGCTAGCAAGAGCAAAATGCCACATGGTCTTTTTAGAATAATGTAGAAATATTTTAAGTGTTTTTAAAAAGTGATCCGCATCCCAAAGTAAACCTCAGAAGATAATACCTATATACAAAGTTCTTACTAATGAAGTCCATCTGTGCAACTGTGGCAACGTGAATCTTCACCTCTCTTGCCCCTCCAACGTGGCTTAGGTAATCCACTGTCCATTTGCTTGTACATGGCCCCAGATCAAGTCCTTTCAACACAAGAGGCTTTCTCTGTAAGTAGAGGAAAAATACAACAAAAATAATTGTGAAAACCAAGAATATATCACCAGCTGTATTTGGTAACAGAGGTGCCAAGCTGTGATTTTTGATCTTGAGATTCTTAAACTCAAAGCTCTAGCAGTTAATGCTGTCACTACAGTGAAGAGGACCCCGTAATATATAACCCAGGACAAAAGGTTAAGATCAGGAAAACAAATAGCAGCCAGCATCGACAGAGAAAGAAGAGACAACCAACTATTACATACAATATTTCCATGTTCTTAGGACAAAAATATAAATGATGAAAATTTGTACTCTATAGTCAAATTTTTGGTTACTTTTTTATTTTAATACAGTTTCAAACTTCTAAAAATGTTGCAAGCACCTGTAATCCCAGAATTTTAGGAAGCTGAGGCAGGAGGACCACGAGTTTGATCCCAGACTGGCAATTTAGTGAGACTCTATCTCAAACTAAAAATAAACATTTAAAAGGGCTACGGATGTAGCTCGGTGTGTAAACCCCGGCATGAACATCCAGTACTGGGAACAAAAAAAGTTCCACCAAGAACATCACAAAGAATTTGTATTTTCATATACCCTCTGCCCTGATTCATCAGCTGTTAACACTATATCCCATTTGATTTACTGTTTGCTCTCACTCTGAGTAATTAAAGAATAACATGACAAAAACCTAACTTACTTTTGGCTCAATCACTTTAAGGTTAAATAACTGACATCATGCCCTTTTATCTGTAAAAGCTTGAGTAGATTTCCTAAGAACAAAGATGTTCTCTTACATAACCATGAAGTAATTATCAAAATTATACTTCACATGACATAACATTACTATTGAATCCACAATCCAAATTCAGATTTCACTAATTGTCCCAATAATTTCCTTTAGAGTTATTTCTTCTCCTGGCCCAGAATGTGTTCTGCGATGCCAAATTGCACCCGCTGCCCTCTTTTCCCTCTTTTCATCTGGAACAGTACCTCAGGCTTTGTCTGCCATGACCTTGACAGTTCTGAGGTATGTAGGCCAGTTATTTTGCTGAATGCTCTTTGATCAGGTTTATCTGCAATTTCTTCATAATTAGTCAGGTTATACATTTTGGGGAGCAGGGGTGTCCCATAGAATAAATGCTGTGGCCCTCTCTAGGGTATTTTGCCCTAGTATTTATGATGATACTGGCAATTGCTGCCTGAGTCCAAGTTCTGTTAAAATGAGTGCAACAAGTGATTTTTAAATCTCCATCATTTTTTTTGTTCGCTTTTTTCTCGGTACCGGGAACCGAACTCACGACCTTGCGCTTGCCAGGCAGGTGCTGTGCCACAGAGCTAAATCCCCAGCCCCTAAATCTCCATCATTTTTCTACATTTATTAGTTGGTATTCTAATATAAAAAAATAAAATTGAGCTCTAACTTCTTCATTTACCTATTTTATTACATGGGTAATAATCTATTGATGTAATTTTGATGCTCAGATTATCCCCACTTTGGCTAGTAGCTCCTCTTCAAGCTGGTTATTGTAACTTTTTAACCTGAACATTACTTTATGAAAAAATAACACACTCTAGCATCCTTTTATACTTCCTCTGCCAGCCTTGCAATCAGTCATTTCTTTAAGTAGCTCTGATTTCTTCTAAAATGAAAAATGTTTAATAGGGTATCATTACCTCTGCCTTCCCAGTGGTCTGAGCTAAGAAACATGAGGCTGTATGTATATCCCTGAACATATACCCTCACATCATATGTGCAAGTTTCTCTCCATGTATATACTACACAACACATACACATTCCTAACGGATATATGCATGAACCATGCATGTTTCAAGGTTAATCCTGGTCTTCACTGTTTATACATTTGTAACTATTCCAACAGTGAAAAACCTAATTCCCATTATCGTTGTTTATAAATCTGCAAAATCCTAGATTTACAGAAAGTAGTTTGAGGATTGTTAGGTCATACTATTATAAAAAAAAAAAAAATTACTAACCAGAATTCAGTTTTCATTTCTTTTTATCCTAGACTAAGGTTATATAAAGTACTCTGTTTACATTTTTTAAAAAAAGTGACCTACATTACTTCTCATCCTCCTGTTAGGTTCATTTGTCACTTATCTTCTACTTTAGGATTCTTAAAATCATTCTTCACCCTTATGTTTTAAATTATTACAACTTTAAAAAACACTTTTTTATAATACACTCAAATTTGGAGCCATGGTTAGGAAGGCGTCCTGTAGACCTAGAATGTGGAATTTATCCACTTTTTTGGGGGGAATTGAGAATCAAACTTAGGACCTTGCATTTGCTAGGCAGGTGCCATGCCGCTGAGCTATATCCCCAACCCCTACCCACTTTTCTTTTATATAGTACTTTCATGTCTTCACATTATTCGGATCTACTCGGACTTCCTTCTTGTATGTAGTATCAGATATAAATCCAATGTTATCATACTCTAAATGACTATTTAGCTGGGCATGGTGGCACACCCCTGTAATCCCAGCACTCAGGAGGCTGAGGCAGGACGATCATTCGGAGTTTGAGGCCAGCCTGAGTTCAAGGCCAGTCTGAACTGCAAAGTGAGACCCTGCCTCAGAAAAAAAAAAAAAAAAAAAAGATTATTGCGTTATCCCAGCACTATCAGAGCAGTAAAACTGCTCTGTATGATGCTGTAATAGTGGAAATGTGCCACAAAGTTGTCTAAACCCATGGAACCTACAACACCAAGCTTGAACACTGAGTTATGGAGTTAGGGTGAAAATGATGTCAGTGCAGGTTCCTCAGCGGTAACAACCATACCACTCTAGCGGAGCATGCTGGTAACAGAGAAGGCTCTGCATGTCTGAGAGGAGGAGTGTATGAGAAATCTCCGTATTTCGACTCAGTTTAGCTACTGTGAAATTAAAATTGCTCTAACAAAACCTATTAAAAGTTAATTTTTGTCCCATTGATGTCTGGAATGCCATGTTCATTATCTAGTAAATTTCTATATGAATAAAAATTTGTTTCTGAATATGTATATATTTCTGGACTTTACTTCTCTGGTCTGTCCATTTACCATATGCAAATGTTAATTATATAACTAATTAATTCATGTTTTTAAAAACCTGATAGGTCTGTGTTCCCTCGTATTTTTCACTTTGGAGTTTACAGGTAAAAAGGTCTCCTTTCAATTTTGTTATTGACTTCCAGTTTTTTTGCACTCTAACCAGAGAAGGTTTTGTAATTACTTTATGATTCTTATTGCTGATAAATCTTCTGTAACATACTGTTTTGTTTGGGATAATTCAGATACAAAGCACTTCACATACATCAGTCAGTCTTCACAACACTGCCCTCAGGCATCATAGGCCCAACACAGCCTGAGATGGGGTGGGAGCCGGAGCGCATCATACCAGCCCATGCGCCCCAGTCCCGGGGACAAACGAAGGCCCGAATCTTCTCCCGCAGACGGCTACTACCAAAAGAAAACACTTCACTTGACTTGTAAACCGTAGAACTGTAGTTTTATAACCACCCTCACAGACGTAACTATCAAGGAAGGAAACTCCGGAGTGCTTTTTCTTTTGTTTTGGATTTTTGCTCCCACCTGATTTATTGCAACCACTGGGGTCTTTTCCTTTAAATACCTGCGGGACACCCTGCGTTCTTGTGAAGTCTGGATTCCCTTGCGAAGAATCGCAAGTAAAACACACGTCCCCCTCCTCAATACGTTCCTATGAGCTTTCTCTTGAAGAACCAAGGGGCTGCAGCGTCCGCACTGCGATGCAGCCGCGCTGGACCCCGGCGCCGCGGCAAGATTCCCGGAGACTCCCGCTGTTCCTGGCGTCTCGGTTGTGCTTCCCAATCTATGCATTTCTTCAGCACGGGGACAAGCGCTGATCGCACCAAGGAGGCCTGCACTACTGCCCTGAACTTGGGGGATCCCGGCGAAGCTGGGCTCGGGGGCCCCAGCAACCGCAAGACGGCCCTCGCCTCCCGCGCCCGGCTCCCCGCGGTCCTCCCGGGTTCTCGGGAGTTTACCACAGGAGGGCGCCGCCTACGCCTTTCCCCTGGGTCCCACGAACCGCGTCTGGGGCCGCCGGAAAGGTTCGGACGAGTCTCCCCTCGCTTCCCACCTGCGGGTAGAGGTGCTGTGTAAAGTGCTCTGCAGAGACGCCCGCGAGCCGAGGCACGCGAACGCGCTCCCCCTCCATCCTTCCGCAGAGACCTCGGACCTTCCGGCGCAAAGCGTCCGGCTACCCGTGCTCCGGCCGGAAACACGACCCGGAGAGCAAAGGTCCGCAAGGCCCTCCCGGATTGGGGTGCTGGTGGTCCTGGGCGCGCGGCGCAGAACCGACTAGCCTCTGACGGGCCGGGTGCTGGACAGCTGAGCGGGCGGCCTCCTCAGAGGTGGCAGCAGCCGGCCAGCCGGCGTGTCTCTCCAGGCCCTTTCTTCGACGCCACTGAGGTTGTTTCCTCCCGGCCTCCTTTCGATGCTGCACCGGCAATCGGGGTGAAAGGTCACGAGCATGGCGCTGGCCTCCCGTCTGCTCCCGCGCCAGCTCCTCTCCTGGTCGCTGCCGGGCGGGGCCGCTGGGCTGCGGACCCTCGGGGCGGCCCCGGTGACGCCGCTGTGGGCCGGACTCTGCTGCTCGTGCCGCCGCCGCCTCGGCTCGGGAGCGACGCTCTGTGCCCGCCGCCTGGGGCTGTGGCCCGGCCCGGGCATCCCCGCGGGCCTCGGCCCCGGTCCCGCGGGCCTCCGGCGCGGCTACAGCACCGAGGGCCAGCGGCCGGGGACCAGGATGATCGTCCTGGGCTTCTCCAACCCCGTCACCTGGGTGCGCACCCGCGTGCTCGCCTTCCTGATCTGGGCCTACTTCGACCGCGACTTCAGCATGGCCGAGTTCGCCGGGGCGGCCAAGCAGGTAGCGGTCCCCGGCCCGCCCCCGCTGTGACGCGGGCGCTCGGCTGGCGGGCGGTGGTCGCGGCCGGACGCCCAGCCGCCGCCCCCGCGGGTAAAGTGAGCTCTGCGCGTGTCCGCAAAGTGTTCCCGCTCCCTGCAGGGTTTGAGTCAGACAGATGGATTCACAGCCCACTGCTGCCACGTAGAAGCTGTTCGGCCTTTTTCTGGCGTTTCTAACTCTGCAGAGTGGGCACGCCAGTACACGGCACACAGTGGGAACTCCTTAAATATGTGTTGGATAAATTGAGGAGACAGGACTTTGGTGAGGAGCGAGGTAACGTTTCCGAAGTCCTGTCGTGTCATCGCTGGTCAAAGGCAGAACTCGCGGCTGGCTCTCTGACACGTACCCCGCTCCTTAAGGGGAGGTCTGGAAAGGAGCAGTTCTGCCCTTTCAGAGAGTTTGCTGGGCCTGCTGTCCGCAGTCACTGATGAGAGGAACAGCCCCCAGCACGCTGCGAATGCTTGGCGGGCCGGTTCCCAGCCCTAGCTTTATCAGTTAGGACTCTGAATGGCCAGTAGTGTTTTATCTTACCCATGTGATGGTCACTTTGAATCGAGATAATTGGCAGATTATGTGTGTGCGTGTATTTTTCCAGGGTAAAAGGCCCTCTAAACCTCTCAACCTTTCTTTCCTCTTCCTTCTTTTCTTAAAAATTTTATGTATTTATTGTGCTGTGGATTGAACACAGGGCCTTCACATTGTAGGAAAATGGATGCACCATGAGACCATGATACGAAGTGAAATAAATCAGATACATAGTCACACAGTTTCTCTGTACGAGAAACCCAAAGTATACATAAAGAGCGGAATAAAAGATGGATAATAGGAAGCAGGAAGATGGATCTTTCTGAGAAGGGAAGAGGACCCGAGGAGGGGAGGGAGGAGAGGGGAAGTGGATGGAAAAGGCGTTCAGCTGTGCCCTGTGGGTGCGCCAGCTGCACGCAAGGAGTGTGAACACTACACACTGCACGCACGCACTCATGAAAATTAGAAAACTAGTGACGAAGGTAAGCTCCAGAAAGGAGATGGCTGATCAAGAGTGTGTGGCCAGTGTACGCTGTCCTGTGACATGTCCTGAACTGTAAACAGTCCTCCAGGGTCACCAGAGGCGGAGACAGTCATGTGGTATCTAGACAGACATTTACCATGTGAGGAGGGGAGTAGGGGGCCCCACAGAACCTGCTTGCGGTGGGTCAATGCATTTGATGTGGCACCATCGCCTACTGTGGCCCTCAAATTCCTGTTTTCTTCTAGCCTTCTTGTACATTTTAGCTTTGCGTGTGCAAGGGCAGGCTGTTTCCTGGAAGCCTCTGCTGGAGGTTGGACTCTTGTGTGTCATTAGGGCTTCTCAAGGCAGGCTCTTACTGGTTCCTTAGTGCTTTTCAGGATGAGTGGCTCAGGTGTGAACTCCTTGGTCACACAGATGCGGGTCTGATGGTTGGGTATCAACATGACGGTTTTGGTCATTTCTTTTGCCCAAATTACTACCCATCTTCCACATGAAAGCTTCCCAAGACATACAGTCTCTCCAAACTCTGAGAACCTCTAAAGTGTTTGCAGAGAGTCCTTGAATCCATTCAGGTGTCCGCATTTTCTTAAATTCAGCTTTATTATTGTGTTGTTTGCTAGGGCTCTTTAGCAGAGCCCCACGGACTGAGTGGCTTAAGCAACAAGATTTCAACATCAAAGTATCAGAAGGGTTGGTTTCTCTTGAGGCCTCTCTGTCTTGCACGCTGATGTTCCTGCGTGGTCTTTGCTCTGTATTTGTTCATGTCCCTGCAGCTTTGTGTGTGTCCACATTACCCTTTCTTACAAGGATACCAGTCACATTGGGTTAGGGACCCATAATGAGCTCACCCTAACTTAGTCATTTCTTTAAGGCTGTATCTCCAAATACAGTTGCATTCCCAGGTACTGGAGGCCAGGGCTTTGACATGGGGGTGGGGAGCTCAGTTCAGCCTATAGCAGCTGTGCAGTGTCCTCTAACTGTGCGTCTCCTTTCTTCTGCCGGTTCTTCGGATTTCAGCTTAGATGTCGCTTTCTTTAGGACGCCCAGGTGGATCTTCTACATGCCCCCAAATCATCCTGTCTTGGTTCTTGAATTTGCCAGCAGACTTGTCTTCCTCCTCTTGTCTTCCTCCTCTTGTCTTCCTCCCCAAACTTGGCTTCCTCCCCTCCTGAAAGGTGGGGTCTTAATTTGCAGTTGGTTTCTCATTGCTAGGAATGTACAAAACCCCCTTTAAAATGAGACCTCACACTTCAAAGTGGGGATCACCTATTTTAAACTATATACTCTTTTCCCCCACTTTCTCAAATGTACTTTATCTCTCAATGAGGTATAAACTGCAACCCAGACTCCCAATTCAGCCTAGCCCAATGATGGCGAACCTTTCAGAGCTTTCAATGGTACAAATGTCCTGCTGTGACACGCACGCCATAGTTTCACCACCACTGGTCTAGACAGTCTCCTGCTTCCTAACTGCTATCTGTACTTAAGAGGTGGGTCATAGAATAGTTAATGGTTCATCATTACTTTAAAAGAATGTATGTATTTTTATTAAAGCATCTGCTGTGTCTGCCTCACTGCTATTTCCCAGATTCCAAGAGTAGATACATAACTAGCAATACTCTGTATGTGGAGAGACCGTCTAAGAAATGTCAGCCAACTTCAAAGGAGTCTCAGCTAACGTGAATACATTACTACTTGACATTGTTTATTACCTTTTTTCTAAAATAGTTTTTGTTACGTTTAGCCGTTTAAGTATTAACGCTGTATGGTATATTTTATGATATTTTGAAATGCTTATTCCCTTCCTCCTTTTTTTTCCAAGGCTTTTGCTTATGTATCCAGATTGCTGTCACAGTGTAAATTCGATCTATTGGAAGAACTTGTGGCCAAAGAGGTAAAAGTATACTTTTCCCCCCCTGTACTGGAGATTGAACCCAGGGCCTTGTGCATGCCAGGGAAGCACTCTACCTCTGAGCTATGTCCAGCCTTTTTTATTTTGAGACATTCCCACTAAGTGGTCTAGGCTGGCTTTGATTTTGCTATCTTATTCCTTAGCTTCCCAAAGAGATGGCATTACTTTCATGTACCACCATTCCTGGCTTAAAGAATAATTTTTCTTTCAAAACAAGTACATAGCTTTCTTGTGGTAAAATGTTACACATTCTGATATTTGCTTTAAAATAGTGTGTGTGCACCAGTGGCTAAAATACAGTCTGCTTGAGTACTTTGTGCTGTGTACAAGCTGGCATGAGTCCAGCTATTTCAGGCATAAATAAATACGATATCCTTCAGTTGCTTTTATGTGTCATGTTCTATTAGGAATTATCTATGTGAATAAATTAAAGGCCTTTCATCCTTGCCTTTGAGGATAAGTAGATAGTGTAGTAAATTTAAAAATAGGTTTAGAAAAATACATTCCCTGATAGAGATCATTAATGCAGTACTTTCAGAAGCTGAGTTGGTGACCTAACAGTTTGCTTTTTCCAAACTTAGGTGCTACCTATATTGAAAGAAAAAGTTACATCACTACCTGATGACCACAGAAGTGCTCTTGCTGCTGACTTAGATGAGATCGTCTACATGTCAACAGGGGACATCTCCATTTACTATGACGAGAAAGGTAATGCTGAGCACAGTCGGCTGCTGAGTGACCAGAGCCATCCAGGTCCGCTGGCTGGTGGATTCTCTCTGCCCAGGCGGGTGTTTACAGAGCCTCCGAGAAGGTAGACTCGTTTCTGAAGGCTGGAAACGTGGCAGTAGTTCCTGACGTTTAGAGCCTCTGCTTACTACTGTTCAGCACACAGGAGAGAAAGTCATGTTGATGAAAAGAATCTGTGTAGGACAAGCTGCACCCGTGTCTCAAATTGAAAGTGTCAATGTTTCACATTTCCTAACTTGGAGGAGGTAGTTGAGCCTTTTAAATTTCGAGCTGCATATCCTGTGGAAGGAATAAAGACTAAAGCAAAATCAGTGTAGATGGTGTCAGCTAAAGACTGATGTGAAAAGAATTAACTGTAGAACTCCCAGACTGGCTTTGGGGATAATCAAAAACGTTAAAAGGAGCTTTAGTGGTTATCTGGTTCTTTTCCTATGCAGTGCATACATTTTCCCCATGGCACTCCTGACAAGTACATTAATGGACAGAGTGACAGATTCCTTGTACCCTGTCCCAGCCTGCGGGTACAGTCAACTAGGACCCTAGAGGGGGAGTGGGGATTATAAAGGGACAAGAGACACGAAGAATGGAGACAAGACAGTGCTCTGATCAAGTCTCGTTTATTAGCGGGAAGTGCCGTGCTTATATACGGCACAGAGAAACGCGGAAGTTCTAAGGTGGGAATAACCAAATAACCCGACAAAGGCGGGAGTAACTAGGTAACGGTGGGTAGTCCTAGTTCTTGAGGCGGGAGTAGCTAGGCAACGGTAGGCAGTCCTGACTTAAAGGGAAAGGCACGTAAGACGGCTACTAATATACAATGGAGGTCAGTCATGGTCTCCTACAGTACCCAGCTTCTGTACGCATCATGTGCCAGGCACGTAGGAAGTCCAGCTCATGCTTACATACTGCTTGTGTGCGCCAGCTCTCCTGATGCTGGACGCAGTACCTGACACCCACAATGTAAAGGAGGAGAAGTTTAATTTCAGGGATTCAGTCTGTTGTCTGCTGGCTCTGACATGTGGCTGGAGGGCGTGGCATTTAGGGCTGCTTCGCCTCTGGCTGCTGGGAGGTAGAGCAGGGGAGCAGTGTCAGAGGAGGGTGAGGAACCAGATGGGTTTCGTCTCTAAGAGCGCACCTCTGTGACCCACCACACACACCTAGAAGTGCTTTGCTCTCCTGAGCAGTTTCCAAGCTGGTCCAGTGGACATAGTCAAGTTTAATGGTCACATTCCCCAGGCAGGGATGATAGAGGACTCCTGGTTAGAAAAGTTTTCATACACACATTAAAAATGTGAAACATTGGTGAATGTATTTGATCGTTCTCTGTACCATGGTTACTAATTATTTTCACACAGTTTGTCCGAACTGCTAAGTATAGTAGGGCAGTCCAGGATAGACTAGAAGCCTGCCTTCTTTCAGGCAGTTGGGATTGATTACTTGCCAGCAAAAACTGGTTTTTCCCCCCCATCACTGTCATAACAATAGATATCTGTCATAAGACTGTTACAGTTTTAGAAAATGCTGTAAATTCAGAATAATCCATGTAGTACACTTAGTGAAATATGTGCTCAGTAACTACATGCTGTACTACTAAGGCACAAAGGAGGGGTGAAGGTCTGTAATAACCCTTACTAAAGTTTTCTAAAAAGAAAGTGTTTCGAAAGAATATCTTAAGGTGCAACAAACATGCACAGGGTTTGATCTGTAACAGCAGTGTAACTACAGCACATTTCTGATTTCAGCTTCGACTGCACTATGGATCACTGTGATTTGTTTTTGTGTGTGTGTTTTTTCCCTAAGGAAGGAAGTTTGTTAACATCCTGATGTGCTTTTGGTATCTAACCAGTGCCAACATCCCCAGCGAGGCTGTCCATGGAGCCAGTGTGTTCCAGGTTAAGCTGGGGGATCAGAATGTGGAAACTAAGCAACTTCTTAGTGCCAGTTATGAGTAAGTGTAACACGCTTCATTGTTTCCTCCCTCTAGAGCATGGAAGACAGTGTGAAGGAGTGAAAACTAAAGGGAGCTTTAGGAAGAAAAGGACGGAAATTTGACAAGTTATTTGTGAAGAGAAAGGTCATAGACACCATGGATATGAAATGGGAGTGTTAAGAAATTAGAAAGAGGTAATATTGCTGAGTTTCATCGAATAGGGCTCGGCTCTATCACTGCGTAACAAGTGCCCCTACACGCTGGTCACTCCAGCAGCCGCTTACCCGCCTGAGGCTGCTGCAGGGCCCTGCAGGGCTCAGCTGTGGGCTTTTCTCTGCCTCACCAGGGGCAGGAGGAGCCATTTCTACGGTGCCCTCTCCCCTCCGGTGTGGCCCCCCGTGCTCCGTGGCTTCTCCATGCCTCCCGCTCTGGCCTCCTTTTGTGGCTTGGGCTCTTGGTAGTTTCAGATTGGCCAAGTCCTTTACTTGGTGATTGGATCCCAAGAGGCAGAAATGGAAACTGCTAGACCTGTAGAGGGCAGTGCCTGGAATTAAAGCCGTGTCATTCCACCGTCGTCCTCTGGTCACAGCAGTCACGGGACCCGCACCACCAGGGTGTGTGGAGAGACCCACTGCTGCCAGGCATGGTGGCACAGGCCTACAGTCTCAGCATTTGGGAGGATGCTTGTGAGTTCAAGGCCAGCCGAGAATGCCAAGAAAAGAAAACTGAAGAGCACACACAACTTCATGGACCAGCAGACAGCAAGATCACGTTCCAGAAGAGCACATGGGGTGGGAGAGGCGGTTGCAGCACTGGGCACATGGGCCAAGTTTTATTGATCATTTCCCGATTTATTGACCATTTCCTGTTTGCCGAGTACTCTAGGGATTCAGACGCAGTACTGAGGGGATACAACCCTTAGGAGTACTTTTAGTAGGAAGTTAGCAAGTTACTTATAAAACATATTTTGTGCAAAGACAGTTTGGCACAGTGAACAACTAAACAAGTTAGTGGAGACATAATGTATTTAAGAGGGAATATTATATGATGTTGCCAAAGTTACAGAAATTTTACTAGATTGGTAACAGTGTTACTTAAAAACAGCTTTTCCTGTACACTGTACTTTATAGTTAAAGTGCTGTTTGGATCACCAGAGTACAGTTCGTATCTTCTTTTATGAGGCACGTGTGTTAGCTAGTATTTTATAGCAGTGTTCTATTCAGGTTTCATTCAGAAGGGGCAGACATTGAATGTAGATCATTCCGTTTGAAATACCCTAGGGGTCGGCAGAGAGCTCAGAGGAAAGCAGGTGCTTAGCATGTGCAAGGCCCTCCTCGATCCCCAGCACTGCCAAAAACAAAGCACAACTCAGAATGTACTTCAGTTTCAAGGAGTGTATTTTTGTGATTATATTGGTAAATTAAACTTTTTATTTTGATTTACTATTAGCTATTAAAGTAGCTTACTGTTAAAAACTGCTTCTAATTCTTTCAGTCTGCATACTTAACCAGAATGCACTGGGCAGATGTGAGATTCTCATTACTCATAATGTTTTTTGGTAGATTTCAGAGAGAGTTCACGCAAGGAGTAAAGCCCGACTGGACCATTGCACGGATTGAACATTCAAAGTTACTCGAATAATCTTTCTTGGAAAAATCAGCATGCGGACTTTTAGCGATTGCTGTGGAAAACTGAGGAAGAAACACTTTGGATCATGTGATCTTCACTTAATCAAGCCTGTGGGTTACTTTTGTATTCACTTGAAATACCCCTTACGGAGTGTTGGAATGGTACAATAAAGTATTTTCCAGATTGGTACCACCGTCTTTATAGGAGCACAAAATAAAACACAAAGAACTGCAACACCACCACATTACTGGTGTCATGTTTAGTATTTCCAATATTCTGTCTGCACACATGTGAGTTAATTTTACAGACCTAACAAGGTACTGAACTACTTACATGTCCCTCAGTCCTTAAAGATTTTATTGTGGCCAGCACACACCATTCATCCAAGAATGGTAATGCTTATTTTTAAAAAACTGCTGCTATTCAGTACTTGGGGCAGCTGTGTGGATAAGAAGACAGGGCCAGCAGATGACCTTTGCAGAATGAAAGCTCTTAGGGGCTTGAATTATCCAGGAGTCCGAGGAGAAAAAACACTGTCTCAGCCTCGCACAGGGAATCCCACTTGTCTTCACATACTTGTGTTGGAGTCCTAGAGTTCTCAGTCTGCGCGAGGGAGGGCTTTCAAAGGAGCAGATTGGGTAGGACACGTGCACAGTTCAGCAAGGGGGTTTATTGGGCCGGCTGGCAGGAGCAGAGGCAGAGCGAGCACGGAGCTTTGCGGCACGCACAGGCCGTCCGCGGCTGGAGAGCCGAGAATCCAGTCTGCAGCCAGAAGAGGCCGACGCAGAATGAGTGGGCTCAGGGTGCCACTCCACGGCAGGGGCAGAGGCCTGGGAACTGAAGGGAGGGTCGTGGAAGAGCCCAGAGACGTACGTGCACGGGCGATGGCCAGCCTGGAGCTGTTCAAGAGTGAGCACACAGCCTGCTTTCCTTTTCAGTCCCCCCTAAGCTTGTTGGCTGGTGCTGCCCACGTCCGCGTGGGTCTCCCCCGTCTGCAGGCCTCCGTGCGAGCCATCCACAGACACCCAGAGCTGGGCTTGGCCAGCCTGCCAGGCCTTTCTTAGTCCATTCAGGTTGCTGGGTCATGATCCCGGTCACACAGTCCGGGGTCACCCGCAGGCCTGTGCAGAGGTGAGCCAGAGTCCCCTGAGAGATGCCCTTGAGCGAGAAGGCAGAGCTAGAACACAGCCGATGAGGGCACAGGGGCCAGCCCGCAAGGGCTGCCACTCGGGGAGCTGAACACGGAGCGTCAGAGAGAGCGGAGGCTACACGGGCCGATGATGCGCTTCACGTGTCTTGAAAAGTGATTTGTTCCTAATGAACCTAGACATGCTTGGTAACTGGAAGTCCTGAGGGCAGTAGCTCATTTTGTTGTCAAGCATGTACCAATGTCATATGTGTGCAAGATTGTTCCACATATATAGTGCTGCATAACAAACCCAAAATTTAGTAGCTTAAAACAGCATTTATTTTACTCATGCGAATTTGGAAATTCGGGCACGGTTTGACTTGGCTGTTTGTCACATTGACTAGGGTCACGTGTTCAATTTGGTCCGGTTAAGGTTTTTGTTAAACTTCATCAGGGTCTGTCTAGAGTAACTTTCTCCATGGAGACTTTAGGCCTATTATTCAGAAATAGCATTTATGGGCTGTACGAGATGCCCTGAGGTCAAACAGGACAAGAATGTATGCCGGCCCGAGGGAGCACAGATAAATTCCTGGAGGTGGAGGGTTTCTGGGAACTATTCAGCTCACAGCTCTTGATGATGCCTAGCTTGACTTCATAGTCTCATCGCGTGCTTCTGAATGTCTCAGTATGCGTTCCCCCCAAATAAAGACATTATCATGCAGAGCCGTAAGAAATCATCAATTATTCCTAATATCTCTAATATTTAAGTTACACTAAAACTCCATCAGTTGTCTTTAAAATGACTCTTTAAGATCCTTTCAGAATTTACACATCACATGTGGCTATTTGTCTCTAGTCCTTTGTGAAGGCCTCGACCATCCCTCACGCTTGTCTGTGACTGCAGCTGTTAGGGTCTCGGGAGTAGACCTGCGGCACAACCGTGCCCTGCACGTGCTTGACGGTTCACTTTGGCCGCGCTCCTGTAAGCTGGAAGCCGGCTCTACAGCTTGACTAGATTGAGGTTGAAGTTTTCTTGGCAAGAATTATAAATGGTTTGTGCACCTCACCTAGCACAAGGTGGCTCGCTGTCTCGTGGTCCCATGGTTTGGGGTGGTGGTGATGAGGGCATTTTCCCCTTTACAGAGAGTAAGTAACCTGCGAGTGACCACAGTACCTTGCAAACATGCTGCCCACACCATCTCCTGAGCCACGCTGGGCGGATGAGACCCACGCCCACGCCAGGACAGCCACTGCCCCATCCCTGCAACTGGCGAGTGTGTGCCTTTCGTGGCAAAATGCGTACACAAAGCTCTTGTGATGAGGCTGTTAGGGACATTTGGGCAGCCTGGCGTCGTCCCAGGGGTCGTCCCCAGGGGCAGACAGAGGCTCAGAGCCAGAAGGGAAGAGGTGGTGAGAAAAGCAGAGGCCTGAGGGCCGCTGTGGGTGATGCCCCGGAACCTCCGGAAGCGCGGCCCGTTCTGGTCTCAGAGCTGCAAACAGGAGGTGGTGAGCCACAGGCTTATGGCACCATGACACGTCAGCCACAGGAAGTTAATCCACAAGATGACACCCGAGGGACTCCGTTATGTCAGGATTTGCAAAGTGCTGATTCAGTTCTGTCCTACTCTCTTTTGGCATTCGTCATAAAACAGAGCCCCAAATCTTTATTTTTCTTTAAACATCACTACAAACTCATGACTTTATATGTGCAATTTTTTCCAGTACTGGAGATTGAGCGCTTTGCGCTGAGCCCCATCCCGAGCCCCGCTTCCACCCACTTCCTCTTTTTTGAGACAGGGTCTCACCAAATCACGAGTTTCCCTGGCTGGCCTCAAACTTGCATCTTCCTGCCTCAGCCTCCCACTGTCCAGGGATAGCAGGTGTGTCCTGTCAGTATCAGTCACAGCCTTTGTTCTCATTGGTACCTAACTACTCCCCAGGTGCACCACTGGGGCCCTGTAGCCCCTCTGTGCAGCAGACTGAGGAGGGTGTGACCTGACGTTAGTCTTCAGTGCCCACGGGTTTTCTAGGGTAAAAATCCATCCCAGCACCTGTCTGTCACATCCTGTCTCGAGCCTGGACCAGCCACTGCTTCCCTGAGTCCTGGATGTTTTTCAGGGTAGTGAAGTTCAAAACCAAGATCTGCAGCTCTCTTAAAGAGCTTTCCTATTTCAAGTCTGTAAGAGAATGTTCATTTATATATATATCTGAGGTTTTGGGTCATTTATCTAAAAGACCTTTGGGAGATCGAGATGTGAACTGTTTGCCTTTACATCAGCCTTGTTTAAAATAACCCCTCCCGGATCGCTGTGCCTAACCCTGACTTTTTGTTACTGTTTATAGCGCTGTCACCATTTGACATTGTGGCATGTGTTATTTTATTAATTTGTTCAGTGTCTTTTTAAGTAAGGCAGGAACTTTGTCTTGTTCCCAGCTGTAGTCCCAGGGACTAGAACAGTGTCTGGTTCACTGTGGGGCTTAGTGAATACTAGCTGCATGGATAAGTAAGTGGGTGAGGCATTCTGTGAAGCCTCCTAGTTCACACAGGAGGATTCCTACCCCTGACGGGCACCCGGCAGGCTTACACAGGGCCCCCTCCACAAGCATCTGCGTTAATGGATGTGCTGCGTCCATGCTGGTGTGATCCTATAAGGAATGTCATTTACTGGTTTCATTTCATTTTGTTTCGTTGTGTTGATTTTGAGACAGGGTCTTGCTATGTAGCCCAGGCTGGCCTTGAACTCACAGCGATCCTCCGACCCTCCGCCTCAGCCTCCCTAGTGCTGGGATTCCAGGCGTGTGCGCACCACGCCCAGCCAAATACTTACTCTCAGTGCCGCACGTGGAACTGGTTGTATGAGTCAGGGGTCCTCTCTGGAAGTGAGCTCGCCAGGGTCTGCAGCGGCAGAGGAGGCGGAGGGCTTCACTCGCTGACTGAAATAGCTTCGCAGCACGGTCTGTGCCTTGACCTGGTGGCGGGTGGTGAAAGGTTGGCAATCAGGGCAAAGTGGAGGAGGCTCTGGCTCCCGTCGCTGGTTTCTGGAGCCGCGGATTCTGCCGTCCTGTGCCGTGCCACTCCCTCGGTCCGGAGAATGCGGATTGCGCTGCAGTCACGGCCAGGTCAGCCTCGGCAGACAGCGGCAGCCTCATGGATGCCGCCTGTGCACGGAGAGCCGTGGGGACCCGGCCGCGCACGCTGCGGCAGGCGGGAGAGCGCCCCCCTTCCGGGGTCGCAGCGGCAGTGAGACGGTGGACCCCGAAGCAGCAGCGTGGCCAGTGTGTCAGGCTCAGCCTGGGCGCAAGTGTGGCCCGCGCGGCTGTGGACGTGGGAAGGCCTGGGCGCAGTGGGGCTCCTGGCGCAGGAGCAGCTCCCTCCCGTGCTTGAGCCTGGGCATGGCCACTCGGGGCCGCGGCACCCACCAGGACCAGGGCAGCGGGGCACCAGCCCGAGGAACAGGGAGGTGCTCTCCGCCGAGTGTGGGGGAGCGGCCCGGCCTGAGCTCCATTCCGGTGTGCGGGGCTGGCAGTGCCCTACGCGCCCCCTCCACTCCGTGCCGAGGGCTTCAGCGCTCCCATTAGACAGCACCAAGCGATGCCGGCACGGCTCACCTGCGACTCGAGTGTCAGCCCGATCACACAGTGTTTACTGTTTCAAAATAATGACTGTAAGGAACTGAGCTGAAATAAGACTCGTGCTTGAGCTTGAGCTCGGTGACTGAATCTTACAGTGTGGGCGGGTGATACAAACAGCTGTTACATCCTTCGGGCTAGCTCTGACTGACTGCAAAACAAAAGCTTTTTATAAAGGGCTGACCTAACCCGTATGCGAGGTGTGCTTTCCCCTGCCTTGGTAGAAGTCTAGGGCTCAGTTGCTTTGGGTTTATACAGCAGCTCTGCAGTCTTCTGGGACCTAGGTCCTCTAGTCACCAGAGTTTTAAGGTCTTTATTGTCCAAAAGGGTGATAAAGCTCCAGCCATTGCATCCATATTCCAAGCTTAGAACAGAGGAAAGGAAAGAGTGGGCAGAGGGTATGTATATCAGCTGTCTTTTGAGAAGCAGTCTCAGAAACATGCGCTTAATACCACCGGCCAGGAGACAGTCAAGGGGTGTCCCAG